TTGTTCTTTGTGTGTTTGAATTTAATTTCCCTGGAGTCTATTCTCTTTGGGTTTATTGTTTATGAACGTCCTCTGCAGATTCCCTCATGATCCCCTTTCTCAGCCTGTTATGCCTTCCCACACAAGTGCAGACCTGTTTCCAATCAGCCACCTGTCTCTTGTCAGGGCTGACTTCACAGTTCCCTTTGTACCACTTTGTCAGGTTTAGGTTTTAGTTGTAAAAGGACTCTCATTCCACCTTCTACCTCAGATTCTGTCTGCTATTGGGTCCCATTTAATACCAAACCATGACATTCTTTACTTTTTACCTTTATTTTAATTTGCCATTATTGTAAACTGCACAAAATGTCATTGTTTGCTTGAGTTTGGCTCCTCAACGATGTGTAGCTGGAGTTTTGTGCCATGATATAAAATACAATACAAAACTAACTTTTGTAATATCAAAACATTATTGGGGCTCTTCACATGAGTCGCTAAAGGGAAAGCTGGTATTTTATGCATTAGAGGATTTCTAAAGGTTGTGGCTTTCAGACAAACAACAAATGCTACAAATCCTTCATCCAAATATGAAGTCTGGGTATATTTTATAAGCATCTTGTTTTTAAGAACGTTTTGTTCTCAGGAGTAGAAAACACAGCATCCAGAGGTATTATACAGTTTTCCATTCAAGGAGCACAAATACACTCATGAGGTTCGATGGAGGAGGATGAAAGGAGTCGCTTTCCTCTCAAATAAGAGGCGATCTCAAAAATCGAGGAATTCCAGATCAGTGGAGTTTTTACATAAATCTACACACAAAAGCTTCTGTTAAAGCTGAGGTGGAGATAGTCAATGAAACTTCTATGTATAAAAAATAAATAAAAAGTTCCATATTTACTTCAACTATTAGTGATTGCCTTCACTTCGTCATGATGATTTGTTTGTGCTTCTCTTCTGAATGATACCTTTGTTCACTTAAACCGTCTTGATCATTTGCATCTGTAAACTTTGGCTTTAGACAATTGAAGCAAATGAACAAATCACTACTGCAGTTGAATCTCATTAACAGTTAATTAGATTATTTGTAAGCAATGGCAACTGTGAACTTACCATAAGCCGGAGTCTATCAGGGGAGAACCAATGCATCTAGTCTCCATGAAGAAAGACTCCAGGCCTGGATTCAAAGTCTGGACCGTCTTGTAGCAAGGCAGCAGTGATACCAACAGCAGCACTGGGGAGCCCAGAGTATTTATTTATCCCCTGAAAGGAGAGGGATATTGAATAATCTCTCGTAACTCCTAGTGTCGTAATTTAGATTTTGTTGTAACACCTGGACAAACACACTTAAAGTTTGTCTCTTATTCATTTAGCTCACAAGTTCCTTTGATGAATTTTTAACTTTTGGGAATTTCCTGTTTTTGAACAAGATTTTCACAAGAAATATTAAATTGACCCCCTTTTTTATATACCTTTTGAGGCTCTTGGAACAAATCACTCACAGTACTGAACAAAAATAATGATTTTGAAGAATAATGCTTGAAAGACAGTTATAGATTCCTCTTTTATCCAAATGAGGGATCTATAAAGCCCCATCAGATTTACTTTTCTCTTCCGCTCGCATGCACACAGGCAGCCAACTTTTTAGGATTAGGATTTTGATGGGAAAAGGTCTGTTTGATCATTTTAGTATCTTTATAGAAATAAAGCTGAAGCTTTACATTTTTCATCATGCTGTTAGAAACACTTGCATTGTCAGTAAAATACAAAAATAAAGATAATATAATGCAGTGAGTGACAAAAGCCTTGACTTTATAAATGTAAACGTTTTGAGTAATGCATGACAAATAAATGTTTTTCATCTAAAATTGGTCACTCGTCATTTCATGATAATTAAATGAGGCAGATGAGCTGGATCTTGCTTTATACTTGATTTTCATTCAGTTCCTAAAACAGAAACTTTCTGCTCATTTCCTGACATACAGAAAACAAGTCATACGGTGATGAGATCAGAGACTCCACGTTTTATGAAAAAAACAGAAAACTCCACAAATAGAAACCAAATCCCACCCGCTCATTGTTGTTTTGGCTCAAAAAGGCACGCAGGCATTTAATAAAGCATAAGTTGCATTCTTTCGAAAGCAGATTTTATTCAAAGCTAAGAGCAGGAGGGAGGTTAAAATGCAGATTTAGAAAGCAGAGCAGTGTTCTGCGGGATTACAGCACACTTGTTCAAAAGAAAACCCATTATGGATCTCCTTATAAAGGGAAAAGCGTCATTTGTTTTTTCAAACTTTGGAGAATTGTTCTTTTGCCGATCAAAATGCCAGAATTGCTACTAAATTTAAAAATGTTTTCCAAAATAAAAAAAATTAAAAAACGTTTGACGGCCCATGTGTGTTTTGTAGAACCATCACAGGATTACCAGCTGCATCAGAGCAGTTCGGCTGGCATTTGTCTTTCCCCTTTACTTTAGAGATTAGTGTGTAATACTGCTACAGCTTTGGGAATTCGTGAGGTGACTTGGCTATGCTGCTGTGAGCAGCCAGATGTTACGCAACTACAAAATGTCAAACGGCTTTTATGAATAAAATGCCATTGCACTGAATAATGACGTGCAATGTCTTATTTGTGTTTGTTTTGTTTTGCTTTTATGAGGTACTCTTTGCTTGTCTCCCTCTTTTGCCTTTTGAACAGTATTCTCTATGGTATAGAGTCTGGTGGTCATACAGGCAAAAACTCAGGTTTGGAAGCAGTTCAGTGAGGTCATGAAGATTTACTTCTGTATGATTTCGAAGAGATTCTGGTCAACCACCTGATATCTCAGGAGGGAAAAGCAATGCATCACCAACTTTCTATGGTGGGGATGGAGTGCTGCTGACCTCGACTCCGGATGTCATGAGATGGTGGGCGGAGCACTTCAAAGGGACACAAATGAGCAAAAAATAGAGCGAGAGGCCTGTTGCATCCACTCACCTGTAATTAGCTCTTTTGTTTCCTTTTGTCGTTTCTATCTGTCCTACAGCATTCAAACCCTTCTCTCTTCTTCTTCCCTTTCTGGATCCTTTCGTTTGCTCCACAGTTCCTCACTCCATTCTTCTGCTGTTCTTGTTTAAACTTTTGTTCTATTCCTCTCATGCCCACGCTCCTGATGTGTTTTCACCCTCATTAGTAGTAGTTTTCACTTCTGTCATTAAATTCCTTTCACTGTGATTCTCTTGCCTGTCTGCATTTTGGCTCCACCTCATGAGATAACCTGAAAGTGTATAGCCTATACTCAAAGAATTTGTTACTAGAGGTGATATTTTTAAATTAAAAAATTAAAAATTTATATTTCTGGAAATGTAGTTTCCCCAAATTCACATTGTTTGAATAGTCATAGTTTTCCCACAGTGAATCATCTTCACCATGGTGCAGATTGATAATCTGTAGTAATCCATAGGAAATCCTCAGTGGAGGGAAAACATCTGAAAACCATAATCAGGTTGCATTGCTCTGGGACAAAGCAGGTAACAGCAGGATCAGGCAAGGAGCAACTGAAATGAAGGACTGTAAACTGGGGAGAGTGATTACTGGATGGAAAGTGGATATGCTGACAGCAGACGGTCAACAGCTGTCAGGGTATCTGAGAGAAACTGATGGGAGAGAATGAGGACAGAACCGAGGGCCACCAAAGAGCCAAAGACACACACATAAACTCACGCATGTACACGCAGAGAGCAGAATCTTCACATTTTGTTAGTTTTGTACATTTTAGTGTAAAGTTATGTAATAATAAAACCTGGTAAAAATCAGAATATGTATATGTGTTAAAACTGTTAAACTGAAACAAGGTGTATTTTCATTTCCCAATAAGGTAGTAAGGTAGCTGGTCATTGCCTTCCTATGCAATCTGATCGATTATGATCTCTCTTCACAGCTCAGTCTGGGCTTTTTCTCATTGTCTTGGATTTCTCTAGTAGAATTTTTTCCAGGTCAGTCCAGAAAGAAAAGTTGGGAACATTTATTTTCTGCACTGTTTTAGAAGTGCAGATACATGGAAACCTGTAGTTTTAGCAAAAGCTGAGAAAGGAAGTGAACAAAGCGGTTCAGTCCAGTTAGTTTTAAAAGAACATAATTTTTCGACTCTGCACTTTTCTGTTCGAAGTGGAGAATGGTTGTTTACAGTGCAGGCAATTTCTAGGAAGCTTCATGACATCAAATTGGCGCATCACATATGTCATAGGCTAGTGTTGGTGAGGGGGTAAAATTTGAAACGTATGTAGAAGCTATCAGGAAGCTATCATTTCTCAAAGTAAAGTAAAGTGTACAGCAAGGAGCTGGTTTCACTGACTATTCTACTACTTGAGCTAAAATCTGCTCTTAAATCAATGGGCCTGAAAAAGCAAGTCGACGCAAATTCTATACATGTTTATCAACTCAGTTGATTTACTTTTGGAGATTCACAATTATTTTTTATGAAGTCAGTTTTAACTTGACTTAACAATGTGTTCAGTCAAAGCTTTCTCAAAGCATTATGTTATATCCCATAGTTTAATCTTGAATCACTTCAGAAGGGACGACTAACTTAAGTGCTACTTTTTAAAACATCAACAGCATTTCTTGTCTCATCAAAAATGATCAACCACAGTTGGTGTAAAGCATTGTCACTCATATGTTTAATATTATGCGGTGATGTATTGTTTGACTCTACTGTGGTACTCTTGAAGAATACTTTCTCCAAGGTTTGAAAGTTTGTCCACATGAAAATGTGTTATTTTAACCGGGAACCCTCTGACAAATCATGCTATAGCTACATCCTGCATACTGTATGAACTTTTAACAAATTATTAAGTACCTGATTGTATCGCTACTAATGCTTATAAATAATTTTTCTGACTTAATATTCTAGACAGGTGAAGAACATATAAAACCTCTTTTAGTGGAACTTCTACAACTGTGAAAACGCCACTCACGTCATATACTTTGGTATTTCTAAACTGAATAAAGAATCATCCCACATGCTAATGTTTTTTGTGTTTCAGGTGATGGACACCCCAAAGAGAGCAGTCCTTTCATCAACAGCAGCGCAGCCTCTGATATGGAAAAGAGCCAGCAATATGACGGCAAGAGCATGGCCCTCTTTGAGGTGGGGGCTGCTCTCAGAAAAGAGCACAGATTGTTCATGCAAAGTGAATATTTTTACCCAGGTCTCACTTTGGGCTCTAGGAGGAGATTGATACCAGTCCAATGGTCTCCTCTCTGCTCAGCTCTCTGGCCAACTACTCCAACCTGCCAACTGGCAGCAAGGAGCATGAAGAGGCTGAGAATAACGAGGAGGGGGCGCGGCCGTCTAAAAAACCTGTAAAGGTAGAACACTGCAGCAATATTTGTGTGAATGAAAAGATTTACCTTATCTAGTTTTCCTTTTACATTTTTTTAAAATCATTCATGGATGTCATAATTGTTATGACATCCATTGTGCAATTTAGATTATTGAACAGTTTCCTAACAGTTGCAGGAAAAATAACAGTATATGTGGCACAAATTCTGAGCATGTTCAAATTTCTAGCATAAGATAATTCAATTTCATTGGTACCTCCTCACTGACAGACAAGAAAATTAAAAGTGCTTTGTTGGACGCTAAAGAAGAAAGAGTGACTTAAAAACATCAAAGTACTAGTTCTAGGCAGAGCGTCCGAAAGTGCAGGAGATTCTTAAAGAGATAGAGGCAATTGCAGAGTAAAATTTCTTTTAAGCTATGCTTGATACAGCATTTCTATAACTACTAAAGGCAACATAGTTACTTGATTGTGCTATAAAATTGCACTATTTGCCTGGAAAATATATAATATTGCCCCATTAAACACATTGAGCTGTAGTAACTTATGTGGAGGAATCATATTTGCCTGTCTGCTTTGTCATGACCTCTAATACATTGCATACATATGATTTCCCTGCTATATTTAGGTTAAATAACATTTTAATCAATGCATCAGCTCAACCGTTTCAGTTTAATTCAGTCCAGTTTACAGCAGCATATTCGAAGGGATTACTCTATTAGTTCTAATAACAAATGTTGCTGACTAATATTCATGACAGAAAACACAGAATGGAGTTTAACTAAACCTCTTTCTGGGCCTGGGTTTGTCAATGGAAAATGTTCTTTTTTTTTATCCACATGCAAGAATGGAGTGTGAAGAACTTATAGAATATCTGTCAGTGTTTTCTCATGCAAAAATTTCACATTAAAAACAGCTTATAGTGCAAATCAAGACTTTAAAACGAGCATTGACTTTCATGTAAACAGAAAGCCAGAATTATATTCCACATTTGGTAAAATCATATTACATGAGGCCAGAACAACAAATGCTCTAACATATATAATGAGAAAGCACTTCACACTTTACTTTTCCCATTTGTCATTGTGGTTTGTGCTTTCCAGGCCCCTCAGCTCGGCACTCTGATGGGAGTCTACTTGCCATGCATCCAGAATATTTTTGGGGTGATCCTTTTCTTGCGGATGACATGGATGGTTGGGATTGGCGGAGTCTTTGGCTCGTTCATAATTGTCTTCATGTGTTGCTCTACGGTGCGTTAAAATTCAAATGTTCATTCTATGGTTCATCTGCTGTATGATGGAGACATTCTTTTTTTTTAAAAAACTAATTACACGTGGGGAAATACATTTCTGTCCATAAAAATATACATGTTTTTTCTGACACAGTGCATTAAATCTGCAGATGTCCTTGTCTGGCATATTCATTCTTAGTTTAATGTACAAATGTTGAACTTGAATCCTGACATCTGGTTTGACGGGGTTTAGTTGTCAAAATTACTCAAATAAAAAAAAAGAAGAAATTGAAACAAAGCGTTCATATGTGCTCCTTGGAGATCATTATGTGAAGAGAGATTCAACAAAGTGCAAACCCTTCAACATAAAGAGTAAAACAAAATTTTAAGATGTACTTGATAATCAAGTGAGACAAATCAGAGATATTATTTGTCCACTGAACCATTCGATAACCAAATAAGACTTGATGTTCTTCTTTGTTGTCTATTGCTGTTTCCAGACCATGCTCACAGCCATCTCTATGAGTGCCATAGCAACAAATGGAGTCGTACCAGGTGAGGATCTTCCTCCTCTTCCTACTCACAAAGTATTCTTTTCTACATTTTGCCAGATTATAGCTCTGGACTTCAGGGATGTTATCTGCTAGATGAACATAAAGTAGACCATAACAGTAGCAGAAGGAAAAAAAATGTAGTTTTAACATAAAACTCTGAAAAGTACTCCAAGTGTTTGTTCGGAGACTATATTTTACTCTGAAACAAAAAAGATGTTACCATGTAGTACCACCTTTTGCTTCAGATGTTGAAGTCCCCCTGTGTGTAATTTGACCTTAGTATCAACCCAGTTGTTTTGGATATGGTCATTTTTCAAAGAACACATCCAAAAAGACCAAAAAGAACACATCCCACAGTTTAGGTTATAAAGCAAAGACCCAAGCTTTGAACATCTCTTTGAGATTCATTAAGCAAGTTGGTACAACTGCAAATACAGGATGGAAGAGCGTTTAGAAACCAAAGAAAAAAAAGGCATGTGCAATAACGTGCTCCGGTCAAATGAGAATAAAATGTAACTTTTTGACCTGTCTGGAAACCCCTGTATGTGGCACTGCACATCGTCCCTACCATGAAACATAGTGATGACAGTGTCATGCTGTGGGGATGTTTTTCTTCAGCAGAGACAACAAAACGTATAAGAAAAATTCTCAAAGTCTATAGAAACTGTGCAGGTGAAAGGTATTTCTGTGGGTCTTGAAGATGAAATTCCAATAACATAAATTCAAGTTTGGGGTAGTACTACAACTAATGAGAAATACTTATTCAAACAAGAGTATGAATACCTGCAAAGAATTATCTTAATGAATGTGACAGATCAGAACACTGAATCCAGTATTTTTTTTACCCACAGCTGGTGGGTCGTATTACATGATCTCTCGCTCCCTGGGGCCAGAGTTCGGTGGAGCTGTGGGGATTTGTTTCTACCTGGGAACCACCTTTGCTGGGGCCATGTATATACTGGGTTGTATAGAAATTCTTCTGGTGAGTTGATCCAAACAGAAAAAACAGCTTTTGAATGTATTTGTGTTATTTGGCAGTTATTTCATTTGGCGTCTTCATCCTGTTTTAAAAAATGTCAAAAATCAAATCAAACTACAATATTTATTTAGAAGACAGAAGTGCAAACATCCTAAGAAAGAACAAGAACCAGTTACTTGATACATTGCTGGATTTACCTTTTTTTTTTTGATGCCAGACTCTGTTGAGATGCATGTCATCCTATCACCCTGTGCTAAAGTCAGACAATCTCACACACTTGATTTCTATGTGGACAAACAACATAAAAGAGGAGAGCAATAGAAAAGAAAAGAGTACATTGTTCACTGTGGCTGTTGGCAAAGTGATTGATAAAATTATAAAGCAGCAGGCATGTCTATAAATTGAGAAACGCCAATCAAACATGTTGTCAAAAATATGCTTGAGGTCTCAGCAGTTGTCAATCAAACATCTTTGCTCAAATTCTAGCTTTTTCAACTTTTGACAAGTTACTTTTGTAATCACATTTTTAAATAATTATGATGATGATGTTGTTATGCAGGCTATTTCATTTGAAACTTTGAAAATAACTCTTGTCTTGTCAAATTATTTGATATGGTTCATTTACTTTAGTAAGAGAACATGTAAGCATTTCATTTATTGTTCTAACAACATTTATATAAATTGTACATATATATACAGAGAGAGAAAGAGAGAAAGGCAGTGAGAGAAAGATTGAAATAATTTCTTTTCTCTATACCTTCCTCTTTCCCTCAGATTTATATTGTTCCACAGGCAGCCATCTTTAAGATTGAGGGCCTGGAGGGTCCCGAGGCAGAGATTGCTCTCCTCAATAACATGCGGGTATATGGCACCATCGTGCTCAGTTTCATGGCCATAGTTGTTTTTGTTGGGGTCAAATATGTCAATAAGTTGGCGCTCGTCTTCCTGGCCTGTGTTATCCTATCTATTCTGGCCGTTTATGCTGGAATCATCAAGACTGCCCTTGAGCCTCCTGTCTTTCCGTAAGTGATACTCTTGTTTAGTTACTTTACTAATCTCTGCATTATGTAACAATGCATTTTGTTGTTTATTTTTGACTTGGCAGTGTTTGTCTCCTTGGAAATCGAACGCTTCTCTCTAAATCATATGACGTTTGTGCAAAGGTCATTGAAATAGACAATGAGACGATCACCACGAAAATGTGGAGATCATTCTGTGATTCTGATTCCCTCAATGCTACATGTGATGAATATTTCATCAACAACAATGTTACAGAGATGCAGGGCATTCCGGGGGTCACTAGTGGGATCCTTGCAGGTTGGTTCTGTGACACACTGATACCATAGTTTGACGATTATGCCACAGACTCTTTATGTACACTCATTCTTCTCTCAGAGAACCTGTTTGGAAACTATCTGGAGAAGGGAATGATCTTGGAGAAGCGTGGAATCTCATCCAATGTGGATCCTGAAATTCCAACCACCAACGCCAATCGCTATGTCCTGGCTGACATCACCAGCTTCTTCACCCTACTGGTGGGGATTTATTTCCCTTCTGTTACAGGTGACAAGTTTTTTTTTTTTCTCATATTTAATGATATAAAAAGCACATTCTATGGCAGTAATACCCAACTATTGATGACAAGCATATTCAAGTACATAGAACCCAAGAGTTCTTGGTCTCAGACCATCATTGGCCAAATGTCAAGATTAGTCAAGCAAGTTTATTATTAGCCTTATGGAATTATGTCACTAGGGCATTAGTGTGAAGAGAGAGGCATAGCTGTCAACTGATCATCACCTTGTGGTGAGTTGGATATGGGGAAGAAAGGTCTGGCAGACAGACTTGGTAAAGTCAAACAAGTGATGAGGGTGAGCTGAGAATGTTAAAAAAATTTCTCTCATCTTATCTCTTATCTTATTGTTGATGTTCTTGTTGACTTCCTGCTGTGGGTGGAGATTTACACAGGTAGTAAAAGTTGCTCTGGTGAGCGCTGCACTCAGGCCAAAGGAAACTGAAAGCTGTGTTGTTTTTCCTTCGTCACTACCCGGCATTTCCAACCCTTTAAAGATGACAGCGTCAACCATCTCCAATGCAGATGCAAGATTCAGGAGCTGTGGCCTCAAGTCCACACATCCACACCTGTCATGGCAAACATGAATAGACTCGGTGGAATAAAATGTTGCATTGACTACAAAATGAGAAAATCAGTTATGCTTGACAGGTTATTCTGGGCAAGAACATATGTAAAATATTAAGCCGAAAACAGAAAATGTTTATGGAAAACATTTGAGTGATTCTGCGTATTAAAAAAGGGAAGACAGAATCTTAAGAGTTTTTTTGGGTTTTTTTTTCTGATACTCACAGGGATCATGGCAGGCTCAAATCGCTCTGGTGATCTGCGCGATGCCCAGAAGTCCATCCCGATTGGTACCATCGCAGCCATCACTACCACCTCCACTGTGTGTATCCTTAGCTGGTCAAACATTGGCAAAAAGAAAAGAAAGATCAACATGTTCCGGAGGGTCGTGAATATGTAAACAAATATTCTTAACCAAGTGGTGTTTCTTAACATTTCCTCCCCAGATATGTCTTGTGTAATCCTATTTGGTGCTTGTATAGAAGGAGTTGTACTGAGAGACAAGTAAGTTTGACTGGTTTATTTATTTGTCACTTTTTTAAATCATCTGCATCACATGGTTTTAAATTCCCCTTGCACGCATTGATAGCAAATAACAGAGATTTTGCCTGTTCAGGTTTGGAGAAGGGGTTAACGGTAACCTAGTGATTGGCACGCTGGCATGGCCTTCTCCCTGGGTCATCGTGTTTGGCTCTTTCTTCTCCACCTGTGGTGCAGGACTTCAGAGTCTGACTGGAGCTCCACGTCTTCTGCAAGCCATCGCAAGAGACGGCATCATTCCATTTCTCAGAGTTAGTCCAGGAATTCTTCCTAAAGCTCAATTTATTTGCCTTCCATTGTCATGCAGAAACAAACACATGAGGATTTAAAGTGTGATGCATGTTTTTTTGTTGTTTTTTTGTTGTTTTTTTTTCGGTTATTGCTTTTAGGTTTTTGGACATGGTAAAGCTAACGGGGAGCCAACCTGGGCACTGTTACTAACAGCTAGCATCTGTGAGATCGGTATTATCATTGCCTCCCTGGATGCAGTCGCTCCCATCCTGTCTATGTAAGAATTCCAGGACGAATTCACTGTCAGGCAAAATAATTGCAATTACTTATTTTCATTTTTTTGTGATTTCTAACATTTTGTTTTTGTTTTTAGGTTTTTCTTGATGTGCTACATGTTTGTCAATCTTGCCTGTGCCCTGCAGACCTTGCTGAGGACACCAAACTGGAGGCCACGATTTAAATTCTACCACTGGTAAGACTTTAAGCCAATATATATCATATCAACATTTTTAAGAATGTTTCTTTTCAGTTGTGTTCAGGCTTACAACTCACACTAGCTCTGTTCATTTCCATATGATATGTGAAAATATGTGAATGAAAAAGAAGACAAATCAGTCAAGATTGCACCTTAAAGTTCCAAAGAAATTTTGGACAATACAAATAAAATTAGGGATTAGATCACAGCAGTGCAACAAAGGCTGTCCAAATTTGACAGCTCATTTAAATATGTCCTCCTTTTCCCTGAATATGGAGGACTGATGTATCCTTCATAACCCACTCTATCCCAAAATTCATTCATCAATGGGAGATTTTTGTTGCTGTAACAATGGCAGGCGAAGTTAGGGAGGAATACAGTTTTAAATATAAGTACATTAAAATTTTCTGGTACAAACATTAAAAGCTTGCAGCAGTTTTGTTGTTAGGCTTTTGCCATGTGCACAGACACTTTTCATATATTTTTTGCCAAAAAATAAAAATAAATTAAATTATTTAATTTATTAAAAATGACAGCTTCTGAGCTTGAACTATTTGTCACAGATATGACATAATTTGGTTTGTATTTTCTTTTCTCATTCTAGTTTTGTTCTTTACCTCAATTTCAGGTTTTATTGGTTAAATAATCATGAGGGGGAAAAACAACAGCCTTGCCTTTTTAGAGTGCATGACTTGAAAGGCTATTTTTAAGTCCAAATATTGGGTTGTAAACATATCTGTTTTTGGGGGGGGGGAGTAAGGCAAACTGTTTTATTTATGTTTCATTCAAAATATTTAGGTTTCAGGTTTTAGGTGGCTGTAAAATTTGACATTTGGCCTTTAAAAGCAATGGAGAGGACAAAATGTTCTGTAAACAATCACATACTTTTGACATCCTGTCACCAACAGGGCTTTGTCTTTCCTGGGTATGAGTCTGTGTCTGTCGCTCATGTTCATCTGCTCCTGGTATTATGCCATAGTCGCCATGGGTATTGCCACCTGCATCTACAAATACATTGAGTTCTGTGGGTGAGTAACCATTACAGCAGCAAGTAATTTATCATTGATGGATAAGCTTTTTAAAATTACAAGGTTTTCTTTGTTTATTTCTTTTCATGATTATCCAAGATTATCTTTGATTATCTTTGTATATTTCTTTTCATCACAGTTTAAATAAATCTGTTGTCAATTGTTATGTTTTAAAACAGAGCTGAGAAAGAGTGGGGCGATGGCATTCGAGGAATTTCGCTCAGTGCTGCACGATTTGCTCTGATGAGGCTGGAGGAGGGGCCGCCACACACCAAAAACTGGAGGTCTGTTTAATCATATGATTTGTGTTTAAACATATGGGGGAAAAATGCGCTAACTTGAAACCAGTTTGCTTTTTCCTTTTGACTATTTTTCCACTAATTTGTTGTGGTTCTCTGCTTTCTGTAAGGCCTCAGATCCTGGTTCTGGTGAGCATGGATGCTGAGCAGAATGTGGAGCAGCCCCGCCTGCTCTCTCTGACCAATCAGCTGAAAGCAGGCAAAGGCCTGACCATTGTAGGTACCGCTGTTCAAGGAACTTTTCTCGACAGCTACAGTGAAGCCCAGAGGGCAGATCAGGTATCTCATTTCCCTTTGAAAGATACACAGCTTGCCCACATTTTCAGTTCCAAAGTGGAATTTCCAGTTGTGCATCTTTGTCTGCAGTCTTTGCGTAAGCTGATGGAGACAGAGAGGGTGAAAGGTTTCTCTCAGGTGGTCGTTTCCTCCATCATGAGAGATGGGACATCACACCTGATCCAGGTTGGAGGACTTGGGGGTTTGAAGCACAATACTGTGATGGTCAGCTGGCCTCAGAACTGGAAGCAGCCCGAGTGCTACCAGCAGTTCAGGAACTTCATTGGTAAGGAAACTGCTTACAGCCTTGTCTGCATGTCCTTTTATCATGGCTATATCTGCAAAAAAAACAAAAAACACTCAAATAATTTCTAATTTAATCAACTGCTATCCAATATTAGAACATGAAGTTTAATTTTGCCACAAGATATTATTATTTTATTAGTTGGTAAAAGATTGTTCCAATTTTTTTTGTTGTCTTTTTCCTTTTTCTGTTTACAGAGACTGTTAGAGAGACAACCATAGCCAGTTTGGCCTTGCTTGTTCCTAAGAATATCTCCAGTTACCCGTCCAATGGAGAGCGCTTCACTGAAGGACACATAGATGTGTGGTGGATCGTCCACGATGGAGGCATGCTGATGCTTCTGCCCTTCCTGCTCCGCCAACATAAGGTGAGAATCAGCACTTTGTGCTCTTTTTATTTCAGACATTTACTGTGTAGTGAGAAATAATCCATCTAGGTTAGTGATGTGAATTTAAAACAGTGTATTGGTGAAACATCAAGGATTTCAGTGCATGTTCAAGTCAATGTTTGTTGCCTCAGGTGTGGCGGAAGTGCAAAATGCGCATTTTCACTGTGGCACAATTGGACGACAACAGCATCCAGATGAAGAAAGACCTCATCACTTTCCTTTATCACCTGCGCATTGATGCTGCTGTGGAAGTAGTGGAGATGGTGAGAGATTTGTTTCAGACTTACATCCTCCATTATTAGCTTTCTAGGAAAGCTTGCTCATTGTTTCTAAATAAAACCTGTTCCTTGGACAATCATATTGTTTATTAACATAAACATCTGCTTTCCTCTCAAAGCTTGACAGTGACATCTCAGCTTATACCTATGAGAAGACACTAGTAATGGAGCAAAGATCTCAGATCCTCAAACAGATGCATCTGACAAAGAATGAGATGGAGAGAGAGGTAAAGTGGAAAACCCTTCCACCGGAAGAAATTAACATAGGAAACATTACATGGGTTTTGTTATCCAGCGACATTAATCTAATGATCACAATTTTTTTTTTGTTTTCATTTTAAAAATTGTATTGATTTGCTTTACACCACTTTATGTTAGTTTAACACATCAAATCCCAACAAAATACGTTGAAGTTTGTGGCTATTATGAGCCAAACTGAAATGATGTCAAGGTGTATGAATACTTTCACAACCATTTTGGAACAAACTACAGGAATTAAAAGGGGGTTCCTGTTTCATTTTTGTAGATTCAAAGTATTACCGATTCCTCCCGTGGATCCATTCGTCGTAAAAACCCGCCATCCTTGCAGCCCCAGCACAGCATGGAGGAGGGAACCAGTCTGGCAGAAAAACCAGAAGATAAGGTAAACATTTAAAACCTGTCTGTCTCTCTCTGTTGTTCAGATTCTGTGCCCTCGGTTCTTCCTTGAAATGGGGTTGCTTGATCCCAGAAGCAGTGCGGAAAGGGCGACGCACTATTGTTGGCTGGGTGAATAATCGCTTTCACTGACAGGTGTCTCTTTTCATCTTTTCACCCTGCCATCACACGTGTTTGTCTCTCAGTCTGAGGCTGTCTCCAACCCAAAACAGGTCCGCCTGATTCAAAGTAAGAATGCAGCCATACCCACCAGCCCAACAAGTCCCACTTCCCCTGCTGCCACGCCTGCAGGAGGCACTGTCACCTGGAGAGACAGCAAGGGCCCGGATAAAGGGATGACGGACTCAGCAGCGACTGCAGGGGCAGGCAAAGACCCACTTAATATGAAACCGTAAGTCACCTGGTACCTAACTTCAACTCATGAGCCTGTGAGGTTTATATGAAAGACCCAACATAACAAATGCGACTAGTAGATCAAAAACATTCCAGGAAGTTAGACTTCAGAGAAAATATATATTTATTTATTTATTTTTATTTTATTTCTATAACTCATCTGGGAATAATATCTAGATGTAAACTTTAAGTTATAATCTGAATTATTTAGGGAATAAAATCAGACATGATCACAACACCAAATTAGTTATTTTTCAGTTTTTATGAAAATGTAACTTCAAATTAAACTGAACCTAAATTACTGTGTTCACATATAATTTTTTTTTTTACATTGTTTCCATTAGACATATGTGTTTTTTTTTTGTGTCAACTTACACTTTGTCTCTTCCCTTGTTGAAGGAATACAAGTTTTCACAAGATAAATTTATGAAATCTTGAAACATATTAGTAGTTTGTTTGTGTACTTTTTACATAAAGCCAACCTTTGAACATTTTAATTTCTCTAAATAAAATACCTTTGGGTCATGTGTTAAAATATAATTTTACTGACTGTTAAAAAGAAACCTATTGAACTTATGAATGCACATACATGATAGCAGCTTTTTGAAAAAACGTTGCTATTTTTTTTGACTCACGCTTCAGGGAATGGGAGGGCTTGTGAGTATTCACATTTTCTAATCCACTGTATTTCCTTTCTGATTGGAGAATCTAAAAAGCTGTTTATTTTTTTCCAGTTGTGAGTTGAATTTCTCTGGTTTCAGGAACCAGACGGATGTGAGGCGCATGCACACAGCAATGAGACTCAATGAGGTCATCACAAAGAAGTCCAAGGAAGCTAAACTAGTCCTGCTCAACATGCCAGGACCACCAAAGAACCGAGTGGGCGATGAAAACTGTATCCTTCATATTATTCCGTGTGTTTAAATTAAGCATTAGAAAAAAAAAACAGCATAGACTTCATATTATTTAATGTGATAATCCTTCACTTGGAGTGTCTCTCAGATATGGAGTTCCTTGAGGTTCTCACTGAAGGTCTCAACAGGGTTCTCCTAGTGCGAGGAGGCGGGCGAGAAGTCATCACCATCTACTCCTGAGAGGCTTAAATTGGCATTTTAAAGAACTTGTGAGTTCTTCTGCTTCACTGTGATTCTAGGAAAATCTTCCCTCCAACCCATCACCTGTCCCCTCAACTGGCAACCAGCCTGCAGTGCTTCCGGGAACGTCGACCCATGACCTAACTCCACCTTTACCTCCAAATCATCTGAGCTCATTTCACCTGATAACTTTTTGGAAGAACTTTCTGATTTATTCTGAATTTTTCCTTCTCATCTATAAGAAACAAATGTCCTTTTTGTCTCTTATCTGTCATTTGACATCTGTGGCTCTTTGAGAGTTTGTTCATCCTAAACCATTTTGGTTTCTGTCCATGATTGTAATAATGACACCAAGTAATATTATAAATGACTGAATTAATGGAGGTGACTATTATGTGTTCATTTAGATAAAACTAGCGTGTAAAAGCAACTAAGGGTGGGTTCTTTGTTATTTCATGTTTAGAAAATTTGATAGAACTTTGGATCTAAGAAAAAATATTTTATACAAATCATGGCCATAAATCTGGTCAGTTTTACATTCTTGTGAATCGTTAACCACCTAGTAAATTGTAGAATTCATATTCAAGTATGTATTTCATAAATCTGAACACTTATCTGTGGAAAAAGTAAAAATTCTCTTTTTGAAGAGCAATATCACAATACTGTAGATGACATTACAGAATAGAAAAAAATGTGCTTCATCACAATGTATTTGCTTTCTGCTGTGTCAGTCATTTTTTTTTTTATCTAAAATGCTAGCTTATTTTTAAAGATGAATTCTTTATATTAATGCTCTTATTCAGACGTTGTTTTTCTTTTTTCGAATGGTAGGATTGTGCATGTCAGCTGAATCTGTTGCAGATTAATTTCATAAATTGGCCAAGCTTTGCAGCACTAAATAGAGAAAGCTGTCAATTTTTATTGGTCAACTTTGTGGTCTGATTAAACTTTCCCTTCACTGTGAAGGCACGCTATGTAACTGCTAAAAGTTAGAGGCACAACTTTGTATCAAATAAAAAATACCCTCTTAATTGATAGGAATAGTAAAGTATGTGGTTTAGAAATATGTTTACAGATGCAATTTATTCCTTAAATGAGATTGCGATGGAAAAATGTTCTGGCACTTTTTTATTAGCTTATTTCACAAGCTGCGGTTCTGAGTATTTCTGACATGTGAACTAAATCATGCAGAAACATCTGTTCAAAGGTAATTATGTTCACTAAAAGTCATTGACTCACGGCTGCACAAAACCTGCAAAATACAAATAAAAATACAAACAGTGAAATGTGTTAAAAGTGAATTTCAGAGGGTGTGTGCAACAATTTTGAGATTACTTTGTTAATCAGAAGCTACATTAATGAGGGTATCTATGTTTTGATGATTTATTTAATGCTCCAGCTTATTTTAATTTTTTATGTTTAGTTTACATTTTATTAGCTTTTACAGAAAGGCTAAAATGGTAAACCACAAAACTTTGTCAATATTTGGCATAAAACTTCATCAGATAACTGGAGGAGAGCTAGGCCTAAAATATCCACATTTCAGAATATATTATATTCATTTAGATAAATGAAGAGGACAAAATTGGATCCTTAGATGTAATGTTTATTCTGAACCTCTCTATGTAGCAACAAACTCAAGTCAAAGTGTTTGAATTTCAGTTTATTCGGCATAAAATAACTTTGATTTTTAAGCTTTTGATTTGACTGAGTTGAGGACTTTCACTTGGATTACCTGAAACTTCATTGTTTCTGTTTTTTTGTTGTTCTTTTTTTCACATTTTGGTAAAATAGCTTTTGCATTCATGGATCTGATGTTATTTCTGGTGGATTGCTTTAACCATAGTTTTATTAACATTTACAGTGTTGTATAGTACTGATGCAGATAAAGAGGCCCAGATCATGATATTACCAACATGCTTTCCAAATAGGCTGCTCCTTTCCTGTTAGATTGTGTTCTTTAGTGCTTTTGTTTATTTTTTACATTTGAAACTTAAATAAATATCTCAATGTTTTATTTATCTATAGATTGTTTCTCTAACAGTATTGCATTAGACTACACTGTGCACAGATGAAGCTCTTTGGAGAACCTCATCTGTATAGTTTACACCACTGGAGGTCAGTGTTTATCAACATGTCTGATTCCTACTGAGAAAACTGTTTTGCTGCTTCGACTTTACAGAGAGCTTTTTGGTCGTGTTTATTTTCAAAGTTTGATTTTAGTTGAACAGTGGAGGGAAGAATATCATTGGTATTATAGTTTTATTTATTTGTAAATGACAGCCAGTTCATAATCTTATGATCCACTATGAATGCTACTGTGCTTGGGGGAATAGTGAGGCAATGACCCCAGACATGGCAGTATGTCCACTAAAGAATGTTTAAGAATTAAGAAAACGAAAGTCTGCAGCCTAGTCCATACCCAGATCTTTTTATTATTGACATGTTGTGAAAGAAATTGTACATCAAACATACCCCACAAACATATTAAAAGATGAACTTGAGGAGACCAACATCAAAGACTCAGGCAGATGACAGAGACTGGTAGACAGCTAAATGAATCTCACTGATGGAGCCAACATCAGTTAGGTGGGTAGGGTGTCCTAACATTTTGTTCAGAATATACATTTTTGCTTATCTCTCTTATACCTTGACTAAAACAAATTTAATCATTAAGTGCAGTTAATTATTTTTCTTTTCCAGACAAAGAAATAGATTAGCGATCAACATGTGGGAATTTCTTGACAAGAGACTGCATATTGATGGGGCATACCAAGTTATTTACATTGCTGTATGTTTTTGGTCAGCATTGTCACATAACTCATAAATCATAGCGTGTTTCCAACATCCAGAGCATGTACAGATTATCTTTATGGAGATAAAGTTTATCTCCATAAACTTTATCTTTATGGAGATAAATCTTTGTGATTAAAGTTTAATGACGAAAGCCCACTTCCCTCTCTATCTACTATTACCCCATCCTTTCACATAGGACTCACTTTGTGTTTTAATTTTCTCTCATTTGTATTAAGATGTATCATACAGTTTGCAAACCTTACCTCATCCTTAATACAATGATATATTGCTTTATTGAATAAAGTTTATACAGAGAAGTGTTTGCTTTATTTTACTGATAAAGGTGGTTGCAGCAACACCCCCTGTGCATGTAGTGGATGTTATTTTACAGGTGATACATACTGGTTCCTAGTTTGCACTGTTTGAAACTTTCTTTGCAGTCTGTGCATGCTGGGTTTGTTTTAGAGTAAAGGGTATCTTAAAGACACAAAACATATCATTATGTTTAACAGTGTTGATCGGTTTAAGTTAGGAATGTGTTTAAAACTATTACATATTTTATTTTCTGACCTTTATACAGCTTTTAAAGTTACATAGTTTGAATGGACCGTTTTTATGTCTGCACAAAATGCAATAAGTTTTAAAATGAATAAAAGTTGGCAATACGTGGACTCTTTTCTGTTGAGAGCTTATTTTACATTTTTCAGTATTAAGGAAGCTGTGTCTGCTGAAGATATCCAACACAGTGTCTGACATTTATTGTGCCCATCGCATGAACTTGTGGTTCGAGCGACCTTTGATCTTGTGAAGGAGATATGAACAGTACAGGACAAAGATAAGAGACCAAGCTGATCAGCTTTCTGTTATTTGTTCTTGGTCATATGCAGCCATTAGCTATAGGAGAAAGGTAATAATTGTGCTGTGAATTCAAATCAATCATTATCCAATAAAAAGTGAACTTTTTCACATGTTGTCAGAAGGTAATGAACTTCACTGTATTTCATTGGGATTTTACATGAACACAAAATGGTGCATGGTTGTGAACAGAGCCCCTAAAAAAGTCCAGTGCAACCAATTGCCTTCAGCAGTTATTTAAGTGCACCTTTATGTACATTTGTTCTGCACAGGCTTCAGAGATATTTTTACATCTACAAAACCCAACAATACATGGCTGATTCCCTAAAAGGGCCAAGCAAAGAGTGTGTTAATCAGATAAGCAGCCACACCTACGGTAACAGTGGAGAAGCTGCGGAGATCCACATTTGATGTGCACCCCATTACAATGTAGCTTCCATCCAAATCTACATTGTAATGGTTTAGCTCAGTGTTTTTCCATACTGGTCTTCAGGGACCACTGCCCTCCACATTTTAAATATGCCTCTGTGCCGGGGCACCATATTCGAATGATTGCATGACCGCTTCTGCATGCCACCGAGTGCTGCAGAAACTTCTTTATCGCTCACTTATTCAAGTCAGGTGTGTGGCAGTAGAGAAACACCTAAAATATGCATTTTTTATTTCTTTCCTTTTTTCTTTTTTTTTACATTACCTAAAGGTCAAACTTCTGACCTTGAGGTGTTTTTGTTGTTTTTCCTTTGAATGATTTTGGTCAAAATCTTGGACAGAATTTGGAATTGTGCAAAAAATATATATTGTTTGAGAGTGAATCAAAACAAAATCGTGTTAAGGTAGTTGAGAAGCTACAATACAAACATAAAATGCACTTTCAAAAGGGAATGTGAAACTTTTTCAATCAAATCCAACATTGACGACTTATTGTCAACATTATTGAGCTTTTGGACTGAGCCACCTTGCTCTAGGAACCATGTGACAAAACCTGAGCAAGTTTAACATGTCTGAATACTTTTGCAGGACAATGTGCACTTAAACTGAAAAATCTGCAAAATGCAGTCAGTCTTTCTCTTAATATTTGTGGCACGCCAGTGTTTTTTCAGGGACAAATATAAGAAGCAGGAGCAAACTGCAGACTCAGCTTCCCCTCACCCCATTTCACTGATAAGCTTCCTTGAATAGTTCCCACAGTTTTACATAGAAATGGACAATGATTAAGTCTCTTACTGGGGTCAGAGAGTTCCAGTGTTGTGGCTGATGCTATAACACAGATGTTAGGAATTACAAGAGAATAAATGTTTTGTCATTGAGGCACATTTCTGATGAGCAGATTACGATTCAGACAGATACAGGTTTGCTTGTTGTGTTCCACTTCATCACATTTACTTTGAAGCAGGATTTCAGAGATAAATGTAATAAAATCCTGGAAAAGGAGCTGAAGAAAAACTGCTGACATTTCAGAACTGTTTATTACGACAGACAAAGTCCGCAACGCTGCATTCTTCATGCAGAGAAAACAGTACGGTTATTGTCTGACTGAGAGCAGGGTCGACCAATGTTTTTTTTACCTATCTTGTGTAAACACAGACAGCCCAAGCAGCAAAAAACGCATACTGTTATTACAACCAGACAACTGTCAGGATGAAGAAGCGGTCGACTAACCTTCGAGTGAGATTACCCGTTTTCCTGTTTGTATTCCAGGTGATATTTGTTGCCATTTACTTTGGCTTTGTGACCTACGACGAGCATGCTGATGCCCGCTTTCAGACCAATCAGACAAATCCAATGCACAACGCCATGTACAAGGACTACCCCTTCTTCACAGATATACAGGTGATGATTTTCCTCGGCTTTGGATGTTTGCTGGCATTTTTCCGACTCTACGGCTTTGGTGGAATGGTTTTTAACTTTCTGACTGCTACCTTTGCCATCCAGTGGGCCATCCTGGTGCAGGGCTACTTCCAGTTCTTTCATAATGGGAAGATCCACTTTGGAGTTATTAACCTCATAAATGCAGAATTTGCTTGTGCAGTGGTCCTCATCTCTTTCGGAGCGGTGCTGGGGAAGACCAGCCCACTGCAGCTGCTGGTCATGACTCTGCTGGAGGTGCCTGTGTTTGCGGTCACAGAGTGGATCGTTCTGAAGTATCTGAAGATCAATGATGCAGGAGGGTCTATTCTCATCCATCTCTTTGCCTGTTATTTTGGACTGGGTGTGACGTTTGTGCTGTACAGGTCAGGTTTAACGCAGGATCATGTTAAGGAGAACACCAGCTACCACTCAGACATCCTGTCTTTGATGGGGACCTTGTTCCTCTGGGTGTTCTGGCCCTCGTTCAATTCAGCACTGACCCTTAAAGGGGATGACCAGCACAGAGCCATCCTGCACACCTTTATTGGCCTCAGCGCCTCCACACTGACTGCATTCGCTCTGTCTGCAATGCTGAACAAAAAAGGGAAGCTCACCATGGCAGATATTCAGAACGTGACCCTGGCTGGGGGAGTAACAGTTGGGGCGTCTGTGGATATGATGATATCACCTGCAGCTGCGTATGTGCTGGGTATGATGGGCTGCACTGCCTGCATGCTGGGCTACAAGTACATGAGCCCATTCTTAGCACAACGCTGCAGGATCCAGGATCAGTGTGGGATACACAATCTGCACGGACTAACAGGACTTATATCATGCGCAGCAGGGATATGTGCTATTCTGATGGCTGACAAGGAAGTTTATGGCCCAAGTCTGTATGAGATCTTTACTCACAGAGCACCAGTGGAGGGGGACCCGAAACTGCAAGAACTGCAGATGCTGATTCCAGGTTTAAAACCGGGATTGGGAAGGACTGCAAGGGAGCAGGCTCTCTTCCAGGTTGCAGCTCTGTTCTCCACGATAGGACTGTCGGCACTGGGGGGCATTCTGACAGGTTATGTGTTGAAGCTGCCTTACCTTGCAGCTCCTTCGGATGATCTCTGCTTTGATGATGTGGTGTTTTTTGAAGTTCCCCCAGATTATGACGCACCACTGAAACACAGCTACAAAATGGCTGCAGGGGATTCTCCAGATGTGCAGCACGAAAGAGTTGTCATCCAATTAATGGACAATAACATGGAAAATAAATGTGCCTGACTTGGTGTTTTGAACTGACTGAAGGTGTGTGTATCTCACCATCACACTCTAGAATTTTGGTTAGCATTTCTATTTTTGCAATATTTTTTGTTGTTGTTTTAGGTTAGTGAAGAGAAGTCTGATCTTATCCCTATGTATTTTATTCACTTTTCCTTCAGGGACAAAAGAAGAATATATCATTTTATGTGTTGCTAATAAGCACCCATTCTCCCATTAAACATATTTGTCTGAGAAAGGTGTTCATTCTCAAGAAAACAATCCACCCTGTTTACAACAGTAAGCAGTTCTGCTGCTGCTAATGCTTCATCATTCAATAGATGGCAAAAGATAACTTTGAAACAAACCCAATGTGCTTTAATTGAGACATAAATGACAATTATAATATGTTTTCATTTACAATAAATGCTTGGATCTGCAAATTTTAAAGAAGTATGTTTCAATATGAGATTACAGTTTAGATTACATATTAAAACAGGTGTTTAAAAAAAACACCTGTTGTTTCAAGACCACAGTTTTGAATGTTAGAGTCTTAATCACCCTCATACCACTTGCTGTTCAACTCCTCAAGTATACTTAATGTTGACCTATTTCTCACCCTAAAAAAATAACTAATATGAAACTCTTACATCGGATGAGCTACTGTCTGCCTGCCAAATATCTATGTTATTTTAGGTTTGGATGGAAATGAGTGCTTAAAAAATTAAATCCAATTACAAAGTAATGTTTGAGACTTTGATCAAAATGAAAAAAGTGATCTGCATTTAGATATATTACATAGATATAAACGTAAAGGCACTGTATATTCCTTTTTGCATTGTTTCAGGCTAAGTCCCAAGATACCCCAACAAATTCTGCCAAAATTTGTAATAATCTTTACGTTATATAATTTTCATTCTAAAAGAATTACAAAATATGAATAAAAATAAAATGTTTTTTTTAATGTACAGATTTAACTATTACTAATAGAAGAAGTTAAAAACTAAGAGAACCAATAAAAATATGGCTATCACTTTGTTGTAAGCTAGTGGAGACTAAATACATGGAATTTTTGTTAAATGTATTTGGATTATATCTCTACAAGCTCATTTTAAACCCTTGAAAAATAGCCTACATTGTCTTGCAAACTTACACCACTTAAGACTTCATATTTGTCATTCTTTGTCATTCAGTAAATGCAAACTTCCGCATTTTATCTGAATTTTACGTTGTAGTGTTTGTTTTTTCCTATCAGTGTGGGAAGATAGATTTTCTTAAACTGCAGTTCTGCATATCACTTCAAAAAGTCTGAACGAACTTACAGTGAAAAAGATAAATTGTCCAAATTTTCAGTCTGATTTTCACAAAATACGCAGCTATTAATAAGTTCTTTAACTTTCAACTTGATATTTTAGTTTAAAAAAATTAAATAAATAAAATAAAATAAAAAAATATATGTGTTAATCTGAACGTTTAATCCCTACTAGATAGGACATAAATGTACTCTTAATGTATACTTGGAACCAGCAGGTGGCAGTAATGTTGTATTATTTTACCACTGAAGCAACAATCGAAGAAGAAGAAGACGAAGGAGACGGAAGGAGAGCGTAAAGCCACGACCTGCCTCGAGTAGCTTCAAATAACCGAAGAGGAAAAAGAAAAGGTTACATAACTTCGAAACGTCTTATTTCACTGCTGCTATCTGTGTTTAAGAAGG